ACACACCTTTTTTAAATAAATTTTACAAATGTTAAGTGTTTGTACTTTTGTCACTGATTTCCTAACCTTACTTTAATTTTATTTGAAAAAGATTTAATAGAATTAAGAAAGAGAGAATATTAAATATAGAAATTATTTAACGTATAAACAAAAAGAACGAAGACAATATAAGAGTCAATGTTTAAAATTTAATAACAAAGTCAAAAATTAAATCATAAATGTCAAAAAACAGCTATTATAACAAAGTTATTTAAAGATAAAGATGTATATAACTGACGATAAAACTTGACATGTTTTTTTTTATTTAACGTATATTATTTATATTGATGTAAAAAGCACGGTTTTAATATTTCTATAATATTTATCATTACATACTATTTACATTCCAAGTAAATGCAGTAATTGAAATTTCAATACGAGCGGGAATCGCTAGGAAATGGCGGACCAATCAAAAGTGGCCCCCTGATGGCCAGTCTCTGTTAGAGGGTCTCTAGCCAATAGGCCTACAGGCCTAATTAAAAGAAGAAGAATTTTGTTTTGAAATAAATGTATTTTTGAACATAAAGAACGGACCGAACTTAATTTGTACTTTTCAATATAAATAATATATCAATAGTAACTTAAATATTTCACATTTTATATTTGACCTTGAAAAAATTTGCTTGCGGCGCGTCAGTGCCTCAGTTGACTCCCTTGACAAATCTGACAAATTTCTGAATCTGCTAATGATAGAAGATTAAATCGCGTCTGTGCTTATGACAACTTGTGATAACTGTCATCGATAGACCGTCAACAAAGTACTAATTGCAAGTATTTAATATATAATATATGAGAAAAATTGGGGACAATATTATATTTTAATAGCTCTAAAAGAGACGGAAAGAAAGGGACACCGAAGAAAAGATAAAAAATAAATTGCACCGCGCGAACCAAGTTGGATCATCATTTAGATCGAGTAAAACTTGCTTCATTCTAATTCTAGGTTGGAGCTCATACAATCGATAATAATGAGTTCCGATCACATACAGAGGCGATGGAGCAGTTTGCGTAAAGTGTTGGAGAGATCGGGCCCATTTTGCCGGCCAGATTTCGAACCATCGCCTGAAAATCTGCAGATGCTCCTGGATCACTGTAAGGTACTCGTTGTCGGCGCCGGCGGTCTAGGATGTGAATTGCTTAAAAATCTGGCTCTGATGGGATTCAGACACCTTCACGTTATTGATATGGACACAATCGAGTTATCTAACCTCAATCGGTAGGTGAGGGATAGAAATATTCTGACAATGCTATATAATCTAATTATTTAATTATAAGCTCTAAAAAAAGAGATTGAATACATATTTTATTAAAAGTATTAAGCAAACACAATTTTGTTTATACACTTTAAATATTATAGACAGTTCCTATTTCGTCACAAAGACATTGGATCTTATAAGGCAGAGGTAGCTGCAAAGTTCATTAACACTAGAATTCCTGGATGTAATGTGGCTGCACACAATTGTGAGATACAAAGTAAAAGCGAGGCATTCTTCCAACAATTCCACATGGTAATCTGTGGATTAGATTCAATTGTCGCGAGGAGGTGGCTCAATGGTATGTTAATATCTTTGCTTGTTTATGAAAATGAAGAATTAGATCAGACCAGTGTAATACCTATGATTGATGGTGGAACTGAAGGCTTCAAAGGAAATGTTCGAGTTATATTACCTGGTATAAGTCCTTGCATTGAATGTACCTTGGATTTTTATCCACCACAAGTAAGTATGGTCTCAAATTGTTCATTTTTCAAGATTCAATATTGTTAACTGTCCAGTTTTATATACTTGAAACTTTTTTGTACCTCACTTAGGTCACATATCCTTTATGTACGATAGCCAATACCCCACGTTTACCGGAGCATTGTATAGAATATGTCAAGGTAATTCAATGGCCAAAGGAAAATCCATTTGACTGTGCTATCGATGGAGATGACCCTCAGCATATAAACTGGATTTATGAAAAGTCAAATGATAGAGCGGTACAATTCGGTATACAAGGTTTAACATATAGACTCGTACAAGGTGTTGTCAAAAATATTATACCAGCCGTGGCATCAACAAACGCAGTTATTGCTGCTGCCTGTGCGACAGAAGCGTTCAAACTTGCAACCAGTTGTAGCGCGTCCTTAAATAATTACATGGTAATTACACACGATATATTAGCAATGTTTTGTTGTAGGCAAAAATAAGACTATGTATGGCTGCGTTCCGTTTCAGGCATATGCGCCGCATTTTATATAGTGAGCGTCACGTATACTATAGGAGAATGCGCGCATATGCGTGAAACGGAACGCAGAATCAAATTGTTGGTTGAAGGTTGAGGATTATAAATTGGAGTATATATATATATATATATATATATACACGCGCGGTTATGTATGTACACACACACACACACAAAATTTTAAGAGTCAAAACTATAGTCTTAATTCATTTTGTCTTGATTGCATTTTAATCTTTACAGTCCTTAATCTTTTCAATTTACATTTGATAATTAGATTAGGGTGTTTATGCATTACATTTTTTGTTGGAAGCGCAAAACTGAATCGTATTTATATCAATTAGTGATTTCGATAAGGTAAAATAAAATACACATATTTCACTTTCAGGTGCTCAACAATCTGGATGGAGTTTACACGTACACTTTTGAGGTAGAGAAAAAAGTAAATTGCTTGGCGTGTAGTCAAGTACCACGAGAAATTGAAATTAAAGATTCGAAATATAAACTACAGAATTTAATAGATCTTCTTTGTGAGCGGCCAGACCTGCAAATGAAAAATCCTGCTATTACAGCTATTATAGACGGCAAATGTAAAACTCTGTACATGCAAATGGTAGCGAGCATCGAAGAGAAAACTCGTGAGAATTTGTCCAAGACTTTAATCGAATTAGGCTTAAAAGACGGTACTGAAATAAACGTTGCCGATGTTACGACTCCAATTACAATAACTCTAAAACTAAAATTTCCACAAGATAATAACGCAAGTCAATAATACCTATTGAGAATTTATTTTTCAAGCGTTCATGTCTCATACACTATGTATTTCTGCTGTTCGAATTCAAAAATTGAAAATAAAAATATAATAAAGTATAATAATAATAATAATAATAATTGCTTTTTCACGAGATTGCACGTTATTTTGTTCTATATGTTTGTATTGCTGCAATTATTTCATTGCGATTGTCAACATTTATTGACATTTGGTAATTGGTACTAGTGACTTTAATGTTTTTTTTTATTGTTAACATAAAACATACAGTGCCTAAAAATTATTGGAATTTTTTTAGTAATAAATTTTTGAACTAATTTAGTCTAGTTTTCTTTAACGTTGAGGCATTATAATAATTTTTTAAAGAAATTATTGAAAATATGAAGTTTTTCTCAAATTAAACTTTATGGAATGAAATAAATAAAACATCTTGTGTATTTAATTTTAGATGGAGTTTAAGAGAATATTAAGTATGTTTGACAAATATAGTTGCAAAGGTACATAATATAAAAAATTAAAAAATAAATGACTCATTGATATTCTCATTAAGAAAAAATCAAACGAGTTGGTTGAAACTGTATATCAATAAAAAAAAGTACGTAATATTTAAACTTAAATACTATTCTATATTTCTGCACTTACATTGTCTCTCGCATCAGATGTAGCAAAATTATATCAAGAAACAATTTATAAAATTTGTATATAGAATTATAAATTCAAATTGATGAAATCGTTCTTCTTTTGATGTTCTGCAGATATGCAATATTTTGGAAATTGAGAAGAGAGAGAGAGAGAGAGAGAGAGAGAGAGAGAGAGAGAGAGAGAGAGA